GGGGGGAAGAAGCATATAGATCCAAAGTTGCTCCTCGGTTCTTAACCTCCTGGCTCGCAATTAGTCTCCGCCAGTTCCATCGGTCAACGATTTACAGTCGATTGTTCCCTCTTAACGACGGCCCTTTGTTCCTCGGCGTCTGTAGGAAATTACGCGAGTAACCTTATTACTCGCGGGCTCGAGTGCGGCGTTACGTGAGACATCGAGACGTTAAATTAGCAACAGCGTTAATAACATGCGCTTTGGTAATTAGTAGCGAGCGAGTCGAGCGTAGGATTAACCGAAATACCGTCCCGTTTTCGAAATGGCAAAGCTGGAGAAGCTGGAGGAATTTGTTTTTTTTTTTTTTTTTTTTTTGCTACATCGTAGTCGCAGAATGAAAAATTTAGTTCCTCCCAGCGCCACTCTCTGATATTCTCTTTTAAAAGAGGAACTCTCACAGAGTGACAAAATTATTGTTAAAAATCTCTCCTTTTTAAAACGTTGATAGATCCTTTTTTTTTTTTGTACATAGTCTAAGCTGTTAAAAGATCGTTTCTTTTACGATCTCGCGTTGTTGAAACATTATTCATTATTCGGGGTCATTAGTCACGTTGAATCATCGGTCGTTTAACGCCGACCGGAGCCAATACGAAACTCGATCTGATCGCGTAATTTTTGTTCCAGAAGGACGGGAAACGCCATTATCACCGCCACCGCCTTCGAGCTCCTCCGTTCAGACATCACCTCGCGGATTGGGTTACACCTGCGGTCCCATAGATGGATCCCTGTACGCTGTGGTACACCAGGGTGCTGCCGGTGGTGCCCGTGGCTCGCCATTGACAGTTTCCATGGACAGCGGCATCAGCAGTGCTCCACCGCAACGACCTAGTCCACCAGAACCAGAGCCGGACAACCAGGCTCATGGTGATCTCGATAAGCTTCTCCATGATATGATGCTTACTGTCGAGGTACGCCTATCACCTGTGTCATAAATTAAAAATTAGCGTCTAAACAACATTGTTAACGATTCTGTCTCTATCACTGTGACAAGTCACAAGCGTGAGTCGCAGTAATTTCGTTTATTATTATTATATGAGACAATTCCTTGAAAATAGAGACACGTACAGTTTGAAACTGCTAACGTAATAGAGACTTGATATTAATTAACGCCATTTAACGAAACAACGAAGATATAATGTTCGGCTAATAAGAGTTATTTCTATGTTCCGTGGACACAGTCGATGCCAGATCCTCCGTCAGAGGACTACAGGACAGACAGGAGCGAGAAAATGTACATTCAGGAGACCCGTAGCTACAGCAGCCACGCGAGCAGCCATTCCCCGTCGACCTACTCCACGCTGAAGGATTCGTACAGGAATTACAGCACCGCGAAAGAGTCCAGCCCGCCGTACAACTCGAGCAGCAATTACAGCACCCTGAAGAACGAGTACCGCGAGCCAGTGAAAATCGAGCACCGAAGGGAGGAGTGCGAATATCGCATGTCGCCGGATCGAAAGATCACCGAGACCAGCACGGAAGTCTATAGGAAACACGCTGACTCGTTTTCGCCGCCCGGGAATATCGATTACATCGACGAGGACATCCCCTATCACGCTCGACAGACGAGTCAACCGTTCTCGTACGGCGCCACGTCGGACATGATCAAACATCAGAAGCTTTCGTCGCCTTCCCTGGTGAGAAAGGCGTCTGTACGAGGCACAGCGCCCGTCGTGGACTTTGAGGACATCCTAGGCGAGAATTCGAGGAGACCTATCAGTCCCCTGAGCCCAAACACGCCGGATCCTCCGCCCGAGTTCGCCAATGGTCCCGCGAAGA